GCCTATATAAGTTTACAAAATCACATTAATAATAATGACGACGAAATCCAAAAAAAATTCGAAAATTACGAAGATAATTATTATCATCGCCATCATCATCGCCATCACCATCGCCAACTACAACGCGATATGAGGATGTTACCTAATAATAATGCTAATACTGGTATTAGTTCTAGTTCTAATTCTAATTCTAACTCCAATACTACTACTGTTCCAAAGCTCGTCCGTGATCGCCGTACTCGTCGTAATAATCATCATGGAAAACAAAAATTTGAAAATGATGAAGATGACGAAAACAATAGTGATAGTGAAATAGAAAATCTTGAAGATCTTGACGAAATATTTGATGTTTACGATGACGATGAAGAATATGACGACGATTTCGATGAAGAATATGAAGAATATAATAATAATATTTCAGTAGATAATTACAATAATATTAATTATTTTTATGATGATTATATTTCCGTTAATAATATTTTTGATGCAACAACAACAAATAATAATAATAATAATAATAATAATAATAATAATAATAATAAATAAATAATAGTTTAGTTAAAAACATTTGTAATTAATTTTTTTTATTCTTTATAGAACATTTTTTTTATTTTTATTCTATAATAAATTTATTTATTTATCTTAGACATCAACATTTTTCACGTTTCCATTTTCATCTTCGCCTTTATAATCATTTCCACCATCTTCATTTTCATTTCCATCTCCGCCTTCGGCACTATAATTACCCTCCCACTTATTTATCGAATTTCCAGTATATTTAACAATTGTTTTCTTGAAGTTTTTGTACGGAAAAATTGACTGATCCCTAACATATACACCATTCCGATCAATCGCCCAAACATTTAATTTTGGAATATTTTCTTCCTCTTTTTCTCCTGATTTAACAATATTATTATAATTGTCGTGCTGTATCTTATGTCGTTGTTGATGATGACTTTGAAACTCGATAGAAGCCCATCCGACACCTGAAAACACAATGTCCTTAAAAATTACCCCTGTTGTATTATTTTTTCCGATACTAAACTTATTAATGCACTTTACTAATTTAGGCCATGATTTGATTCTATCCGATGATGTTGATGATGATCCAATTGGCGGTTTTAATATTGTTTGTTTACCTTGCTCGCTCATTTCTTTAAAATATTCGAACGATCTGTCAATAGATGCAATATGAATCGGAATTCTACTAACTATTGTTAATTGAATTGGTTTTTCACTGCCCTCGACATAATCAATCTTACCAAATCCTCCAAACAGTAATGATCTTCCTGGATGAAGTGTATAAGTTAAAGGTTTTATTAATTTTTGTGGTGTCGTTAGCTTTAATTCATTCTCGTTCAGATAATTTATCAATTGATTGTTATTAACTATTCCCGGTGTATCATATAAATAATTCATTATCGACTTTGACGATTTTATTTTTCTTTGAAGATAATTTGAATCAACATCATCGTCGTCATCACCATCATCATTATCACTAGCTCTTTCAAATATTGATAAAGGTATTTTCAACATATTGATAGTTGTGCCAGGTATAAATGAAGATGTTAGTTTATACTTTTCATATATCTCTTTATTATCATCGCCATCGCCATTTCCTTTTTCTGGATATTTGCCTTGTGCAATTCTTCTCAAAAAACTATTAATCAACTCAGATTTTCCTACATTTGTATAACCAACCAAATAAACATTACTGTTGATGTATCTCAAGCTTGAAATATACTCAAACAGTCGCTTAACTCCAACATTTTTCTTGGCGCTAATTAAATAAATATCTTCAAGGTTTCTTAATCCCATTTTGGAACATTGTGATCTTATCCATCTCATCAAGTAACTTCGTCCTGTTGTTAGCAGTGATGATGTGGAAGGCAATAAATCTATTTTATTAGCTATCAAAACAGTTTGATTGCTTCTACCAATCAGATTATCTAAATCTTTTATTAAACTATTTGGAAAATCAAAAATGTCTATTACGATTAGTACTATTTCATTATTATGATTTCTCAGGAATCTTAGTGATCTCTCGTTAGCTTGAGCTTGACTAAGTGTTGCCAGTGACGATAATGATGTTTTCATTTTCCTCGACTCTTCATCATCCTTGTTTAAGTCTATCATAGATCTGTTATAATGTCTAAGATTTATACAACGTTGACAAATCAAACTTCCTTCCTTTTCTTTTTCTTTCTTTTCATCTCTTTTAGAATTATTATTTATTCCCATTGGATACAATTGTTTTATAGTATCTTCATCCATCATACTAATCAAACTATTCAAATCATCTTTATCCAAACTTTTTTTTGGTTTATCAATATCATCAACGTCATCTTTTAATGTTAATGATGGTGATAATGATTTTTCATTTTTACTCTTGATTAGATAATATCCTGGTTTTGATGGATCAGTTGTTTGGAAGTATGCTCCACATCCTGGACACTGATTTTGATTTATTTGAAATTTTTTCTTTTTAATGTTGTTGTTATTATGAAATTTTTTGATATGGAAATTATAATGATTATTATTTTTAATTGATAAAAATTTTATTATATTACGGATATCGTTATTGTTATTATTATTATTATTATTATTATTATTATTATTATTATGAAAAATTCTTTTTTTATTATTGAATAATGAATTTTTTGTTCTTTTAAAAAATATTCCACCAAATCTAATCATTCTTTAAAAAGATATTTTTTTTTATCACGACGATCATAATCACATGATAATTCAATTTTTATTGAAAAGTAAAAAAAAAAATTTCTATATATATATATGTTAAGTTAAAATGACTACCCTCATATTGACGTGTGTGAACTCGATAGAAGGACGGAAATTTTCTCGCTTATTTATTGATTGTTTGATTTGGAATTGTTTAATATATATTTTTTTATAATAAATGATATTTAATGAAAACTATAGTAATAGGTAGAAACAATTCTGCACAGCGTAATTTTTTTGATCCATAAAACCATGGTGGATATTAATATTTCATAAGACACGGTTATCACTATTATTATAGCCGTTACTAAACAAATCAATTAATAACACAGTTCCACAAATCTTTTATAATTATTATGATTGCAAAAAGAGGCATTGATGATTCGAAATCAAAAAAAAATAAAAAAATTACGTAAAAAAAAAAAGAAATCGTAATAATAATGGTTCTTTTACAAAAAAAAAAGGGTGAAATATCTTCGTTCCTGATGTAAGTTCTACTATTAATTAATTAAAACTTTGACTCAATTCATTGTATTTGTTCTTAGAGAATCATTGTCGTCACGTTAGTTGATTCGGATCCGTGTAACCAATCGGTTTTTATTAAATTCACATATTTTATTATATCATTAATGAATCAATCCTTTTTTCGTTGTAAAGCTATAGTTATCAAAAACAGCATCGTTTTTCACTCCAAAACTAATATTTATTTCTATAAACTTGATGAGTGGTTGAGAAGATGTAAATATTATAAGCTTTCAAATTGTATAGCTTTATGTGAATTGTTGTTTATTAAAGTTCAGAGAAAAAACGGAAAAAAAAAAATAATTGCACAAATAGGAAGAGTGAAATTAAATTTAGGAAAATCAAACAAAAAATCACCATATTTGTATCATATAAACTAATTAGTCTTCGTAAATCATTACCTAAACAGAAGAAATTCACCAATCAGCTTTCGATATTCGCGTTAATATGGATGCGATTGTGTCTCGTTACACACCAGATATTTCTCCTTTAGTGTAGTAATACTTCAACTATTTTTTTAATTTGTTTAGACTCTATTGGCAGATACTGATGGTTGACTTTCGCTTTCATCATTATAGAGTGATACGCTTTTTACCGTCAGACAAACAGATAATTATTCAAAATCATTCAAGTTCAATCTTCACTACAAAAAGTCAAAGAAAATTTGCAAAATCCCAACTCATCTAAACTTACTCTTTCTCAATGATCATATTTTCACTCTTGCATTAAATAATATTATTTTTATCATGTATTAGTTGGATGTTGGTTTAAATTTCATCAGGAAAGCTAGTAGCAAATATTCTACACTGTAGGTTTTAACATATAATAAGAATTTAGTTAATGTTATTGAAAAATATATGCAAGTTTATATTTATATCACTCTACAATTGTAGTATATGCTTTTTTTAAAGAATTTTTCTTCTTTATATTTATTGAAATCGTGAAACTTTAAAAGTGTTAATATTAACAATACATTACACAATGGTGCGTGAGCAATTTGTATCACAGAATAATTTTGCATAAAAAAAAATAAATAATAAATAAAATCATTAACCAACCAACAACCAACAACCAACAACCAAACAACAACAAAAAAAAATATATATTAAAGTCGCGTATTTTTAAAATTTTTTTTTTGGGTCGTTCTTCCTTTTTGATCATTACACTTTTACCATATAACATCTTGAAAGTAAAAAAAAATGTCTGAAAATATTCATCTATCAGGCGAAGAAGTTGAAGATTTTAAAGAACAAGATCGTTTTCTTCCAATAGCAAATGTAGCACGTATAATGAAAAAAGCTTTACCAGACAATGCCAAAATTGCAAAAGAGGCCAAAGAATGTGTTCAAGAATGTGTTTCAGAATTCATTTCCTTCATAACGAGCGAATATCCTTTTTATTTATTTTATAAATGAAAATTTTGTATATTGAATGTGTATATATGATATAGCATCGATTATTAGATTTACATTATTGCATTTTATTTATTTTTTAAACAGCAAGTGATCGTTGTCAACAAGAAAAAAGAAAGACAATTAATGGAGAAGATATTTTATGGGCTATGCAATCCCTGGGTTTTGAAAATTATGCTGAGGCTCTGAAGATTTATTTGGCAAAATATAGAGAAGTAGGTTTTAAATATATTATTATATATATTATTATTATAATATTAAGATTGTATTTTAAGTGCTAATATATATAATATATATATATCCATTATTTTGGTTGAAGACGACAAAAATTGAAAGATCTTCAACTACAAAAGAAAAAGATGAATCAACAGATGATTATAATCAGAAACAATTTTATAATGGTAAATTTACTTGTTTCATCATCATCACCATTATTTATGAAGCCCCTGAGAATAATAATAATAATAATAATAATAATAATAATAATAATAATAATAATAATAATTGATTTTCTTTTTTTAGTACAAGATAATTTTCTTCAAGAAGACAACCACCAAAGCTAAACAATTAGAAAAAATATATTATTATTATTAATTATATACAACATATAACATTATTAATTAATATATGAAATTTAAAACTATTTAATTTTTTCAGTTTTTTTTAGAATAAAAATATTTTTTTTTGCAGGGCAGGGAAAAAAAATTTTATTTATTTATTTATTTACTTATTTATTTATAATAATGATTATTAGTAAATAATAATTAATTTAATTAATTTAAATAAACATTACTATTCTTCATTAAATAATCCCATGATTAATTATTAGATCTAAGATACAACAACAAATTACTAACCAAACTTTCTTTCTTTTCCTCTTCAAATTCCCATTATTTCGCATCCTCGTAATTTCTTTCCTCTTTAACTTCACTTAATCTTTTCTCAACTCTTCTCTTCCTTCATTTTCTACGTTTTTTATATTATTATTTTTATAAAAAAATTAAAATGTTTTATAGTTTTGGTAATAATAAAAATAAATTAGAAATCAATATAATCCAGTAGAACATGTGCTGTGAAAAAACCCAAAATATATTTTTAAATTCATTCAATATTGAATGGTCCTCTAATAAGAAAGTGAAAATGCACCAACAAGAAACAATGTCCACAGTATTATTATGTCCATTAATTTTGTATCTATACGAGTCATTAATATTAATTGTTTTTTAAAAGATTTCTTCGTTCCCACTACTAAATCTAAGTTGCTATCACTCGTTGTAAACATTCTATCAAATATGGTTTACCCAAAGAAATTTACTGCAAAATAGCAAAGTATGGAAGCCAATTTCTGCACCAGTGTTTCATTTCCATATATTACCACCGTAGTCCAAAACCATACATTCTTTTATTCTTTATTAAATTTATTAAATACATAATCTTTTGATCGAAAATATGTTATTTGTAATCTTGATATTAGTCCAAAGAATATTCAAATTTTCCGAAACAAAAATTTGTTTTTCTTTGTATACTGTAATGATGAGTTATTTTTTTCGACTGAGGGTATATTACTCTAGAATTCACAATTCTTGATTGCCTATGGCAAGTTATTCTCCTCATATGCGTTGATTGTTCGAACCCCAAATTTCAGTACGGTGTGATCATAACGTTATGAATACTTTATACTAGTAAAAACCCATTGGTTTTGAGGTTGGGCCATTGGTTAGACGGGCTTTTGAATAGCAAAATAGTTTTTTTAGCGGAGTAAATAAATTTTTTTTAGGTTAATTATCATTCTACTGACCAATTCACACATTAAAGATACTCGTATTCAACGTCGAGACACAATAGGATATAAGGTTTGAAAAAAGGGTCCAAAAAACCAAATCGGCTGATATGTTATGATACAATTTAAAATTTTAACAACCATTGATACAGATGTGAAAACAAATTTTTTTACGTGAATTGGGACTTACTCCTGCCATAGTCCTAACAGCTCCTTTATGTTAGTGATGTTAGTCGGCTAATAATCTGCATGCATAATTTCTAAATTTAGTAATAGATTTCTGTGTTACTTTCTTGTTATAGAAATAAAATTACCAATTTAGGTAGTAAACGGCTTAGCCAGCTAAGGATTTTTAAACGGCTAACATCACTACTTTATGTTTTGTTCACGCAGACAAATTTTCTATATATTCAACAGATCAAACAAAAAAAAAGTATGCTCTTTTGTCATTACATACTGAGAAAATGCAAAGTCTTAAAATAATAACCCAACTTACCCAATCAGTAACACCTTTACATGCCCACCATGAAACATCTCATATCCCCTCCGCCCTTACCATTGTCATCCCCCGTAGATTAGTGAACACTGTATTTTGTACCGGAATGACGTGTAGAACTTGGATAGAGAATGATACCATCAACAAATAGCTGTTAATGACGACTTTATATAATGTGATGGTGTATCAAATACACCAATAATTTTCTATGGTACAGACTCAACGGACCAATATTGGGATCATTTGTATCCTTAAGACAGCTTCAGAAGCAAAAGGTTCGTGGTTTGCCTCAAGGAGATGCTTGTTTCAAAACTCATGGTAGTATATCTGATAACATCGATTGCTCTCATGAAGAGCTTTGACTCCTTGGTGTCCTGTCTCTATTTACTTATCTTTTAGTTATTTCAATTTTACAATCGAAACTTTGCCAGATGGTGATAGTTTATCAATTCGTTTATTTATGTTTTTTATTCACGCTAGTAATTCATGTGATTTTTTTATTTCACACTTAACTCAAAAAGACTTGAACCATTGTCTTCAATACTTTTATGATTCCTAATTTTTCTAACTGATGAACGAAAATTTTTTCAAAGTTATGACTGATCGTTTCCCAAAAAGAAAATTGTATAATCATGAAAGCTTTATACAGTCACAGAGGATGAACGAAACACATAATAATAAGAAAATTTTATTCAAAATCCGTTGTATCGAGATTATAATTATAATTAGTAATCTTGCCAACGGATTTTTATATGTTTTATATTAATATTAATATGTGAAGCAAAAATTTTATAAATCTGTTGTGACAAGAATTTAATTATAATTATAGTACATATGTAAACTCGATAAGTCGGTCTCGCCAAAATTTTCACCCTCTTTCTTAATATTTAAGTAATTCAATTCGACAAGTCGGTTTACTCGATAAGTCGGTAATATGAGCTCACCCCACATGACCTACTTATCGAGTTTATATATGTAGTCCGTTGTGACAAGATTTGGCTGTATTATGTAATACAATAACTAAGAAATCAAGTTCCGTTTGAAACTATCCTATATAAACTCATAAATAATAGTATGGCTTCTTTAAATAAACTTGATCTTTTTAAAAGTTAACAGTAATCAATAATCAAAAAGGAATCTTCAAGATGTATGCATGTAATGAGAATGATAATGAAAGAATCCTGGAATTTTACTAATATTATGAAGATCTGCGCCACAAAATACCTCAATTATGATAACCCTCTTGCTGACATATAATTTAATTATGTTGATCATTGTAGTAAAACACAAGTAATTTTAACAGGAATATAAATAAAATAAAATGAAAAAACAACTTTATGAACAATCATCACAGTTTCGTAACTGGTGTTTTTCCAAATCTAAACTTCAAGAAACACGCGAAAAAAATCATGCGTCATCTGTCGAAAAAGTAAAAAAAAAATTGGCAGAAGAATTGGTAAAAATATATAATCATTATTATATATATAAGCATTGTATAATATAATGATCATTATTTTTATTTTTATAGTGAGTGCTTATAGTCATAATCATCATAATTATTAATATAGGAATTAAGAAAACAAGCATTGGAGACTACAAATTTAGAGCAGGAGAGAGTCAATTCACCCAGTTTATCACCACCATCAGAAACTGATTTTTTAACATTGGAAGATGAAATTGCTTTATGTGATTTTTTCCAACACCAAATATTTTTTGTACCAAAGCAATTTTCAGAAGAAATATGTAATAATAAATTTACTGATAAAGTAAAGGTAATGATGAAGATTTGACAATCTATTTGTACTTATTTATACATTTATTTATTAACTTTTTTATATTATGTATATATATATAGGCCACAGCTATAACTTTTGCCAAAAGATTTTATTTAAGAAATACTGTGATGGATTATCATCCTAAAGATGTTATGTATGTATTTATACTTTTATTTATTTTATTTTAACATTTATATATAAACTTCTAATACATATATATTATATACAAGAAGTATAACTTGTTTATTTCTTGCTGCTAAATCTGAAAATTCATTTGTTCCAATTGAAGATTTTATTAAATTTCTTTCTAATGCCAAAATCACCAAAGAAAGTGTTTTTGAACTTGAACTAATTATATCAAGAAGTCTAAGATATGAATATATGATTCATCATCCATATTTACCAGCATTTGGATTTTTCTTGGATTTACAAGTAAATAATAATAACAATTTTAGTATAATTATAAATACTTATAGATTAATTTTTTTTTGTAAAATAATATTAATGATTGATTGATTGATTGATTGATTGATTGTGATTGATTAAAAGTTATATTCTAAGGATTCTAAAAAAATACAACAAATCTATGAGAAATCTAAAGAATATATTAACACATCACTTTTTACTGACGCAATGTTCATCTATCAACCATCACAAATTGCATTATCAACAATTAGAATTGCATCAAAATTTTATAATTTTGATATTGAAGTGTATTTAATTAACAACATTATATTAATCATATATATAATATAAAATAACAATATTATTAATATTTTATATTTTATATATTTTAATAGATATTTAAAATTAAAATTTAATTCTGATCCAGCTGATAAAATTGAAAATCTTTACAAAATACTTGATGAGATTGAGTTAATTATTAAAAATTATGAACCAGTTTTAGTTGATAGAGCAAGAGAAGTTGATGCAAGATTAAGAAAATGTAAAAATCCTGAAAAAAATCCAAATAGTGAAATGTAAGTTAATTCATAATAATATTGTGTTCATATGTATACATACATATATATATATATATAATAATATTTTATTAAATCGGGAAAAATAAAAAGATTTAAGAAAAGAAAATCAGAGAGAGAAGAACTTGAAGAAGCAGAGCGGCATAAAAAAAAGAGATCAGATGATGAATATCAAAATACATTAAAAGCTGTATTTGATTAAACAAAAACTTTTATACAAAAATTCTATTCATTAATACTTTATATAATACTAATATTTTTAATGAATAATTTGAACATTTAGTTATATTTATACTATCTTTAGATAGTAGTAGATGATCGAAAATATATTTTATCTCATCATCCATTCATTCCTCACACTACCAATCACATTATCCAAATCTACTTCAGAGTTATATAAATTTGATTTTATTAAAATAAAATTATTATTTAGGGCATACTACAACAAAGCATACATTTGTACCAGTTTTTTACATCTTGTATTTTTGCTTTTACACATAATACATATACAACTTTGCATTTAGTATTAATCAACTGATTAGTTTTAAAAGAGTTTATGGTCAAATGATCCAGAAAGAGTCATTACACAACCATTAATCAGTAGAAAATATTATGGACTTTTTCAAAAAGTTATAAATTGATACAATGATTATTGCTTTAGAATGAATAACTTGATTTGTAAAATGCTGCCTACAAAAGAAAAAAAATGGATTATGTAAGTGAAAAAAAGGGATTGTAAATTTGTACAAAAGAACTTTAAATTACATATCATGATTAAAATGAAATAAACAAACATCACTTGGCCTTTTAATCCTTTTCTTGAATATGAATGCCTCTATATACTACAATATTTATGATAACAAATAATTGCATTACCCAAGTAGTAAATAATACCAGACTGTGCAAAAATGAAACTTTAAGGAGCCATATAAAAATCAGCTATTGATAGCTGATAAATTTTTCTGATATATAAAATTTTCTCTAAGCATGTCACTTTCTAACATGAAAATGATCTCTGAGATATAGCCGACCGGTCTGTAAAAAAATTTCGGGTGGTTTTGTGTACCTTTCTTTAAAAGTTGGGTCGATTGACTATTTTCACTTTGCTGATCGTTAAATTGACCAATAATAATGCGAGTACGTGATTTTGTGTTACCATTAAAAAAGAATTGCCGGATATTTTTTCTTTTTATTTTTTTTTCTTGTACAGATTTTCCATATGCATAAAAAAAATTACCAAAATTTAATATATATATGCCATTACTATGGGGCTGTGCAACGAAATTATTTTTATATGCATGCATGTTTATTTGTGTGATTAACAAAATTCAATTAATTGGCATTCATGTACATTCATTTTCTTTGTAAGATAATTCTTGGCATAAAAAACATTCTGCATTATACTCATTCTGTAGAACTGAAAGACAGTTTAAAAGGACAGTATATTGAATCTATTTACATTAATTGTTTATTAGTGGTTTGTATTTCGATCTCTAACATTTTTTTAACATAAAAAACTATATTTTTATTCGAATTCTTAAGTCATGGAAAACTTTTTATTAAATTTCATCCCAGTATCAGCCATTACAGCTGTATCTGCCTTATATAAATGTGTGGAGTTGGATGGATGGATTGGTGATTGTGAACAAGTAATACAAAAATTCATAGCAATATCAGAAAATGCATTGAGAAAGATTCCTAATATTGATAATGAATGTTTAGAGAGACATTGAAGTTTTGGATCTGGCAAGAATTTGAAACAGTAAGTTAAGATCTTTTTCTAGAACATGTTGGTGGATATGATGAGTTGTTATTTTTAGGTTTCCTGAAATGGACTATACTGATTGGAGTACAATGGTAGTATACATTCTAGTGAATGGGCTAATGTCCGTTGTGGTAGTAATACCACTTTCCGCATGGCAGTAGCTAGTTGTATACACTTACACCTTGACTACTTTCATTATAGTTAAACTTTCTTTTGGCACTTTGATGGCTTATATAAAAATGGAAACCTAATCTGATCTGCGCAATTTTATTTAGTGAATTTTATTATTTACAATGTTTAATAACTAGTTTTAACCATACTTTAGGTTGGAGGTGCTTTTGATGATTTATGTTCTCTTATGGAGGTGAATGCTCTAGCAATTGATGTGGTGGATTGGTATGAAGAAGCAAATGAAAATATACGTTCCCTGAAATGTGATATTGGACAGTGTAAAAAAGAGAGTGCTGGTCACAGTTTTTTTAATTAATTCATCAAGATCTTTTTTTTTATAAGGATAATCTTTTTTTGGTGCAAATGATGACATGAAGTTATTTTCAGATTTGCAATGGTCAATAAATAATGCATCACACCTGAGAGACTTGGCTGTGTTCACTTTTGCATTTGTGTGTCTTCAAACCAAACTATGGAAATTTTCTACACAATATTCATCCAACTTATTTAAATTATTCTTCAATGTATCCATTATAGGATGTTTGATCTGTTTCCAGTATTGGATGTCTGACAAAAATGCAAGGATAATTTTATCATAATTGTGTATCTGGAAATGTTTCATAATACACCAAAGACGAAATACTGCACTGATATATTCACCAAGATGATTCCCTCAGAATAAGGTTGTGTAGACATCAAGAGTTACAGGGACCAAATTGTCCAACAGATCTAAGAATATTAAATATCCTGTTTTTTTTTGAATTTTTAAATCTTCTCATTACAAAACATTTAACAATTTGCCATCCTCCATGTGCAAGATATAACAAAAGGTTCATTATCCATGGCTTTGGTTTTGCAGCTAGCTTTTTTTTCTTCCCAAATACTGTTCTATACATTGAATCAAAAAGCCCCAAAATGTCAAAAAGACTGATTCACATGTATTAAGTGAAAGGTGCAATGGGCCTAAAAATGACAGTATATGAAGAATTTCCTTTGGGATGCTGGTATTATCAATTGAATTAAGTCTTTTTACAACTGCTCTCCTTAAGTACAGCTGTCCAGGATAATCAGCAGGGATGAATAGCATATTATCACTCAAGTAATTTTTCACTTCAGGTAATCTTAATAAAACTCATTATTACAAAACAATTATATAACAACAATTACCTATAAATGAATCAACAGCTTGAAGATAATTTTTTGTATTTTTTAAGTCAAGTTCAACAAAATCAACAAATTTAGTTTGAGTAAACTTACATCCATATTTTTCATAAATATCAATGTCATATGAATGAACTACCAATGATGTATAAGTTCAGGCTCATTAAATTTTATCAGGTCAGAAATTTCTTTCCAATTAGCTTTTTTCAAATTATAACTTTTTGCTAATAAAATCATATACTCATCATGAAGAGCCTTTTTGATAATTGAAGCATCAACTCCTTTTGGATTATGTATTGGGTCATTATTTTCATTGCAATATGGAATGGGTGGTATAGAAACTGTATCAAACAAAATAGTTGCCATATGAGCAACTTGGGAAGTAGATGTTACATTTGGAATTCGAGTACTATGCAAGTTGTGATAATCATCAATATAACCTATTAAAAGATTTTTGGACTAAAATGATATTAGTATTTTGTTTAATTTACAAATTTAAACAATGCAAGAATTTTTTAATCAAACATACTGATTTCTTAACATATACTTGTACTGTCTCTTCATGTGTTTCAACAAACTTTTCCAACTTATTATATACTGTTTGATATGTGGCACTTATTCCAATGTTTGCAAGGGTGTTTATACCACTAGTAGAAGTGCCTGACTCTGCAAGAAACAATCCAATGGATGTTTTGGTACCACTTATCTGCTTATTACACAGTGCAGCCATTTGATAGCACAGCAACCATAACCTTTTGTTTTAACAATGACTGAGTTTTTTGATTTTTATTTTTGGGATTCATGGCTTCATATAAAGCATCAAAAAATCCTTCTAGTTTTGGATCATGGCTTTTGATTAATTTCACAAATTCTTGAACATCAAAAATTGGCATATTATTATTTTGATATTGATATATCACTTTAGTCATTCATTCAATTTGTTCATTGAAATATTGTGAAAATTGTTTGGGTACTATTTATATAACACAAATTTTTATTTCTCAAACCTAGCAGGTTTGAGTTTAAAACAATTATTATGGTTTAATATAAAAAGTGTATTGTAGCAATCATAAATTATTTATAATACATATCTAAACAATTTTTGGGCAATTATAACATAAAATAATTAAGTTACCATTGTTATGTGATTTTCCACTTCAATCATATATGAACCCAATTCTGCTTCTAGATCATTGATTCTTTGTGTTAATTGTTCAATACTCACAGCTTTATTACAGAGGTTTTGATAATCCTTTTCACTTAAACAAATGCATTTATGTTGATTTACTTTTGCATAGAAAGATGTATCCTTATCAATATTTTGTTTATGATTTGGTCTGTAATTTCGGTTATAATTAATTAATTCATTGTAATGCTTTTTGCATAATTGGTCACCAACTTGGAGTTTAACATTTAGAGATTGAACAGTTGGACAGTTGTGTGCTTTAATTATAGAGTATTCTGTAATTTTTCTATATTCTTCACTAATATTTTCTTCACCACATACTACACAAGGACCATAATTTTTACAAACACTACCTCTAGTCATTTTTCTAATTAAATAAAAACAAAAAAAATAATGGAATGTGTTTTAATTAATTTAAAATTTATTTGTTATTATTACTATTTACTTTTTTTACTTTTTATGTGTATTTTAAAATGAGAAAGATAGTCAATTTCGTCAAAACATCAACTTTATTACAAATAAACTCAAAACTAAATTCCGCTCTGGTAAAACGACCATCTGCTCTAGAAACAAGAATATCTATGGAATAATTTTGTAAAATTTGAGGTATAATAATTATGTGGTGTATCCCATGTTTTTATAATAGGTCCCTTTTTCGATTTACACATTTAAATGTAGATCTTTTTTTGAAATATCAATAGTAATCGTGACTTGCAGATCTATCCATAAACGGATTTTTAACCATGCTCATGAATTGATTTTTTTTTTTGGAAAAACAATTTATTTTTGACAGAGTCCAAGGTGACAAAACATGAGTGTTGTTGTTTGGTTTGGTTTAGGTATCCTAAAGAAAACATGTTAATAACTAACCAGAGATACTTTTTTTCTTTGTATTGATATTTTTATAAATATTTTAATTGGAATCAAAACACAGAGCAGATCTTGCTGGGTAATTATAAGATCCTCATCAAGATGATAATGAATGAACAATTGGTATTTTGCTTTGCGTAATCGTTAATAATATTACTATTATTATAATTATAATATATCAAGGCAGCACACCATTGAAAAAGAAACATTTCAATATGCAATGTTTAATTATTGGAAATTGGCAGGTGTTGAAGCACGCATGCTGCCTTGATCACTTTACAGTCATTCACACACATATTCCTCATGTACATAAGGCTAATCTGACTTGCGATGCCCGATGATATGATGATGAAACAGAATTCCAGGGGGGTCGCTCTACCCTGGAGCTACATCAAGACTGCATCAATCGTCAAGGATGCTTTTCACTAATCTTCCCTCATAGCATCCAGACCAAAAAAGGCTGCTGGCATGCTAGCCGAAAAGTTGCCTGCAACGACCCTACCTCTAGGGTAAGGATGGCTCTGTGACCAGGTCGCAACTCTGTTGATGAATTGGGTGATTCCGGTCTGGGATAATCGTCATTAATCTCTACTAAATAATATGAATGTGCTACGGATTAATTGATAAAAATTAAATAGACGGAACGTAACACGAATTCAAAGGATAATAAATAATTATACACGTTATTAATAAATAAATAGAATTAGTAAAAATAAAAATAATGAAATAAAAATAATGAAAATAAAAATAGAGATTCGACCAAAAGATCTGCGTCAAAATCTAATTCCGGTAACACAGACAAAGTAGCAAATAAGGGAGCTTTGAAGAAAATGAGCATATAAATTTGGCTCACCAGGATATTGAAATTTTAGAGAAGAATTAGCTCCTGAGCAAGAGCATGCTCACGTAATATGACTGATATAGAGACAATTAGATAGTGAGAGTGCCCAAAGAAGAAACAGGTTATTTAATAAAATCTTATATAAGATTAAGATGAAAATTTAATCAATCAAGAAAATGGAAGAGCCATTGAATTGGGGAAGCAAATAATTGAGCAAGAAATAAATGTCAATCAACAAGCAGATCATGATAATTTACAAGAATTTAGCTAATGAAAACAGAAATTTACATCAGCATGGGTTCCTAAAAATTTAATGTTCTTTTGTCACGTGAATTACCTAAAAATGAAAATTGAGATTATCCGAAAATTTTGATAAAGATTTTGAGGAAAAAATAAAATAAATAAATAAAACAAATGTTTAAATTTTTTAGAACATCTAATAATATTAATATAACTAATATATCAAGAAAATTAAGACTTATAATCTATCCATTAAAGAATAATATAGGTTTGAAATTGATATTTTGTTCTAATAATGCATTATTACAAGGTACTACAACAACTATTAGAAAAAAGTATCAAATTCAAATACAAGGTTTGTTATTTTATACGACTGACACTCGAGCAACAAACCTTACAACTGCAACTAATACAACCATTAACACAGCTAAAACGAATACAACTGAACAACAATTAAATTACTACGAAAATTTTCGAAAGGCTATCAAGGCTGGTAACATTCCAGAAATAATTAAAACATACCAAGAACTATTTGATAGCGAGCAAAAACAAGAATTAAAATTTAAAGATTATAACAAAGCAATCGATTATATAAGTAGGTCAAATTTAGATGAACATTTACCAATTTTGTATAAAATGGTAGAAGATATGAAAACCTTAAACATTCAAACTAAATTATCTATATATACTTCACTTATGTATGCAAACAAACTTCATAATAAGCCTTGGGAGGCTTGGAGACTCTTTGAATCGTTGAAGCATAGTGGATACGAAATCGTTCACGTTGATGCTTATTTAGATGCTTACAGTTTATTGATAAATGCTTTCAAACAAACGTTAAATTCTGATGGTGCAATGATAGTTTTTGTGGATATGAAAAATCATGAAAAATTTCAACCTGTTGCTCATCATTATCATGATCTCATCGAGTTGTTTCAACTAAAAGGTGATGTCAAGCAAATGGAAAAACTTTATGACGAGATGATCGTAAACATAATGGAACCGCTTGAAAAAACATCGTATCTAATGATCAATCAATATATGGGATTGGGCGACATCAACAAAGCTCTTGTAATTTATAAAAGAATATTACGCTCAAGTAATATCGATAATGATGATGGCACCAATCACCAATTAGATTTGTTAACTTATAATAATATTATCTATCTAAGCATTCAGGAAAATAATATTCAAAAGGCCATGCATTTTTATGAATCAATGCTAAAAAATAACATTCAACCAAATCACACGACATATGACATGATGTTTAACATGTGGTTGGATAACGATGATTCAAAGAACGCATATTCAATTTATAAAAAAATGATTGAATCAAATATAAATCCGAATAAAGATTCCGGGGTTATAATACCATTATTATTTAAAGAAGGTGAAATAAAATCATCAATTGAAATATTTAAAAATGAAGTACAGGTTGCAAAGGAGCAAGGAACCACAGACGTTTATTATGACACAATAAAGAGGATTTTTAGAGGTTTTGATAAGAATCCATCACAAATAAAAGATTTTTTAAATGAGGTTAAAAATAATCATGGAATAGAAATTGATGAAAAAATAGGAACTCTGTTGCTATATCATTATATGTCTATTAATGATAATGATAGTTTAATAGAATTTTACGATATATTGGTAAATAAATTGAATAGTTCGATAGACACTGAAACTTACACAAAATTGATTGAGCATTTAATTAAATCAAAAAGGATTGAAGAATCATTGCAAGTCTACTATGAGGCTAGATCGAAATGTGGTTTGAATACAAGAAGTTATAACATTATACTAGACTCCTTTGCCAATATTAATCACATGTCCGAGGCTCAAAGAATTTTTGTTGACATGAGACGACTTGATGTCAAGCCAAATTCTTATACTTACAGCGCTCTAATAAAAGGACTAGGTAAAACTTATGATTATGATGGTGTGGTGAACTTTCACAATCTACTTAAAATGAATCTTGATGTAGAATTCGATTTAATAATTTATAATGCATTGATGGAAGCATATAATAGATGTGGATATGGTTATCAGGTTATTCAATTATGGGATTTGCTGGTATTGTCTGAACATCCAATTGATGATAAAACTGTTTCGATAGTTTTAGATACTTGTGGTTATTGTTACATCACTTATAAAATCAAAGAAATATGGGATTACTTAAAAGACAGGAGGTTTAAATTCTCCATAAATAACTATAATTCATACATAGAAGCATTATCACGTACCAATCAATTTACAGAAGCAAAACGTGCATTAATGTATGAATTACAACAAGATGGATTCGTACCGGAAGAGAAAACTGTAAGACCTTTATTATCTTTTTTGCATGATAAATCTAGAGGTAAAGATCAATTTCATATTATAGATTGGATTAGGAGAGAATATCCAGATTTAGCAGTAAAACTAAAATTTAGTAGAGTATAAGAAATTTATGATTTTAAGTTTATTTTAGTTAATTAATTATTAAAAATTAAGATATTATTATAAAAATATACAAATGGGATTTTCATTATTCAAAGAAAAAAAAACAATAAAAATAAATAATTAAAAAAAAAAGAGATGAAAAACAAAGCTAAAGAATGCTAATTTATAATTAATGATTAAATAATTAAATATGTAATAAATATATCATTGTTCAGAAAAAAAAAATTTAATAAATCAATAAATCTAACATTTAACAAAAAATTTAAAACTTATATAAATTCATTTCCATCTATAGGTGCTAAGTCGTTATAATCTTTAATTAGATTATCCCTTATTTTAAATAAACCTGATGATTTCATGCTAGTTCGTATTGTTGAATTGTTATGATATGCAAGAATGTTTATTGTACTTGCAAAATGACGTCTAACAGAAGTTGCTGTAATAATAACTTGTTGTTCTAGTTGTTGATTTGATATCACATTATGGAGATTTGTAGACGATGATGATCTAACCATAAAGTTTGGTAGCGAAGCAATAGCTAATTGGGGATTTTCAATGTCAATATTATTGTAGTTGTTATTATTGTTTTCGTTATTATTTTCATTATTATTGTTTTCTTGATTATATGACGAGGATTTAGAATGTGATGATGATATTGAGGATGCTGATGATGCTGACGATGGCGATGATGATAAAACTTTACAAATATGTTCATCCAAGTATTTATATAGAATTCCTAAATTTCTAAAAATAATGTTTGAAGTGTTTGTACTAACATTAACATTTGGATTTTTATCAAAATATGAAATAGTAATATCCATTATTCTAAGCGTAAAATTTTCGTAATAACTATTATTACTAGAACTTGAAGAAACCAATAAAGCACCTTTGGTCTTCGACGTAATGGAATTCTTTCTGCTAATGTCAAAAATCATCATTTTTTGAACTATTGTGTCGATAATTGTAAGAATACTTTGATGACGATAATGTGTTGTTCCCTCCGTCACCGTCATACCACTACGCACACTCACAAATCCTATTATCCATTCCAGCCAATTCTGTTCCCATAATATGCGCATATTAATAGGCGTCAACAATCTTTTTACATCTGTCAACGCTTGGAAGACCAACTCTGAATTCCTGGAAAGTTTAATTAAATCAAATAGTAAGCGAACCATTTCGGGATATATCAATTCATCTGACGATTTATTATTATCATTATTACTAATTGTTCTTATACTATCTACTGAGCTACGTTGCGAGCTTCTTTTAAAAATTGGCCGATCTAATGTTGTCAAAAAACCATTCTTGAATTTAGGATCATTTTGGTAATAATTAGTCCCCACTCCAATCAAAACTTGTGTAAACTCTAAAGAAAGCTCGTGCCCTGCTAAATATGAAAACATAACGTCAAAACCATTGTTAACTCTTGTTAATAATGCCTTGCTATGTTTAATATTGGAACTCATTAAGATACCAATCATCTTCAATATAATTATACAGAATTTTTCATTTGGAGCTTCAAGAAGCGGTGTCAAAAGTGATATCCCTTTCAATACACGTATCCTTTCCACAAGCTGACTATCATGCGTCATATTTTTATAAATTATCTCGACAATGTCATATTTAATATCCAAATTTACCCATTTACCATCACCGCATTCAATATAATTGAATAATTTGTTTAGCTCTTCTGTGGTGATTTCTGACATCATTGATTCAATTACTCGCATTATAAAAGGTTCAAGAGAACAGGAAAGATTGTCTAACAGTTCAAGTAATGTTTCCACTCCGAGATTCGTGCGCCAAATCTTGAGATTATTTGGAACCTCTACTAGCATATCAACCAACATTCTTATAACTGGCAATTGAACATCCTCTTTACAACAGCTGCCTAAAAGTTCAACAATCACTCTTAAACATTCTGTATTAACTATAACCATTTGATCATTTCTTGTTATCCCATCACTTGCAATGTCCATCAACACATTAAAATGTTCAATGCTCAATTCATTATTATTAGAATTGCCCAATAATTTTCGTAATGTTGAAAATCCATTGTTCTCGGTAAACTTTGCCATGTTTTGTGGACTTTTATAAAGTAGATTGGATATGGTACGAAGCCCAATCAACTGATGTCGTGAATCTAATTCTAAAAATCGAAAACATTGTTCTACTTTTCCAAATTGTTCAATAATGTCCCGCATAGATCGTGTTACATGCACTGTACACCCGCCCTCTAACTTTCCGGTTATTTTTGTAAAATCAATTGAATCCGAATTTCTTCTTGATTTTTCTGGCTCCAATATCAATTTTTGTTCAATACTTAAATAAGATTGCGGGTGAACTGAAATAAATTCTTTGTTCTCGATTCCTAGAACACGATAATTTTTTGAATATGCTGGTCCTTGATTAAAAACCTTTTCCGCAATTGTTTCATCCCAGAGCCCTCTGAAAAAATAAATCGATGCAATTTGTCCGTGAAAATATCCATTAGGTGATATTGGCATTGGTGGTATTGATGGAGGTATCGGTTGTACATTGTCACCGTTATTATCATTGTTATTATTATTTAATGACATTTTCTTACCACGACGTCCCACGACTGCTACTATTTTCTCTTTCCCCATCGCCTTTGGAGAATTAAACATATCATAAGATTGCATAGAAGAACCATCAACAATCAAAGAAGTTCCATCTTTCGAATGCACGAAAACAATATGATGCCAAACGAGGGTTTGCTGAAAAGAAAATCCATCAAATACAAAGTCCTCGGGTGGTAACGGAAATTGTTGTGTTTTTACACATAAACAATACCTATATGGCTGGTCAATTTTCTTGAAATAAAGTTCGAATGTTGTATTGGCACCCGTTAAATCTTCATAACACAATAATCCAATTTCATTCTCTAGAAATGCAGTAACCTTCACCCAAAGACTTAAAGTATACCCATTTTTCACATTAGGAAATTTATCCATTGGTATAGTTTGCAAACTGCTATCAAATCCGTTGAAATTGAAATAACACGATGGATCCATTCTTTCAGAAATACGTTCAATCGCGTATATCATTTGAGATTGTACTTCACGCAGAAAAAAAGGATCATAATCAATTTCTGCAGGTTCATTTTTAATAATATTATTGCTTAGTGGTTGCTGTTGTTTTTGTTGCTGTAGGGCCATTGATTTACTAAAAAATCCTTTCGCAAGAAATTGTTTAAGCATTGAAAGAGGATCATAAGCAGCATCAAATAGTAGTGTCACATCATGATTTGTAATATCATATGCTCCAAGTGCAGGAATTAAGCCAACGTATGGTGGTGGTGATAATGGGTGTGCAACAACAGTAGCATCGTTTGAACTTATTTTTGACTTGTAGTGTTTTTGTTGATTGTTATTATTATTGTTCCCTTTTACAAATAACATCTCCGTCACAAATTTAAGACCATGATTAGCACAGAGAAATTCCTTGTTTCGTGGATTAACTTCCATCAATGACATTATAAGATTAAAATAGTATCTTTGTAAAGTTTCATCACATTTATCTGTAATATGAGCCAATATTTTTAAAGACATGAAAGCGGCATCAATGTCACGGAAAACAATATCAGTCCCGTTTACAAGTTTTTCTTTAACTTCTTCGGTTACATTAGTACCATTGCTACTACTTCTGCTGCTACCACTACCAATTGTTTGGTTGGAACTTAAACTAAACCCACCAAGGTTACGAGAATTACTACGTTTACGAGTGGTTGGTTGCTTATCTTTTTTTTCGAGCATTATTTCCTCGGATTTTATTTGATTCACTCTTCTTACAGGTGATAAGGTAGGGCTTGGAAGTTGCATATTACTTCGAATAGACATAGTAGGAGAATCTAAACGATCGTGTGAACAATTGTTGGTATTTAACCCGTTTGGCTTATTACTATTGTTACAGCTACTATTAATTGCAAGCGAACTATCGTTTGTTGTCGTTAAGTCATTTTCATTAGTCATAAATATAGTATTATTTAATGATACAAATGAACCATTCAAAGTACTTCCTTCATAAATACTGCTGTTATTTACTAAAGAAGACATGCTATTGATAGTAGCACGACTATTGTTCCTTTTGTGACCTTGATTTCTACACGAGACCCTAGAATAGTTGACGAAGAGGAGAAATAAATAAATAATTAATTAATTAACCAATATATTTATATATCTAATTATATAATTTATGACAAAAAAAGTTTTTTTTATACATACATTTTCTTATTAAAAGATATTTGTCTTTTTTGTGTAAAAGGTAACAAATTTGTAAACAAAGGCACAGGTTTTAATAAATTGGTAATAAATGGCATGATATCACTACTGATTAAAAAATTATCAGTCTTGGCTATAGATGGTGACAATGGTCGTAGTACACTTCCATCAGTTGCTACTTCGAGAAAAATCTCACAAAAAGCTCTAACAAATTAACGGAATATAAAACTAATTAATATATACTCTACACACACAAAAAATTACGTGAGAACTTACTTATCAATAGGTATTGTAGAAGAAAGTACCAATTCAAGAAAGCCATCATAACTAAAAGAGTTTGCGCGTAACAGTTGAGCATCAACGTGACTTGAAAAAAAATTACCCACTGTCTGAAAAGCAGCTGAAGCGACATTTGAATTGGTTGAATGTTTTATTATACTAATCAAAACCTCCAAACCTCCAAACTCGCCAAATAATTTCTTTGCCCTGTCACTCTTGTTTAGCACTGAAGATACTAAATTACAAACTTTGGTTTGAAGCCAAGGAAAGTTAATACGTTTAGGGCGATTTTTTACAGAAGGAGGAGGAAAACCCCTATTATTATTATTTCTAGAATGATGAGAATAAGATGATGAAAATGATGATGATGATGCTGATGATGATAATGACGACGATGACGACGATGACGATGACGATGATAAGCATGTTGTTATATTTGAAACGGCAATTGGAATCGTTAAATTTTTACTACTTTCAAAGGAGGAATTTGTTTTAGTTGAATTAAATGATGTTAAATCGGAATTTTGATTGTCGACAATCATGTATTTCAATATTCTAATAAGCCACTGAAAATAATAAATCGAATAATTTTATTGTGAGATAAAGTAAATAAATGATAATAACAATAATCATGATGATCATAACGACAAATAATATATACTATTACTGACCTTTACACTCTCAATGCAATCTACACAACAAACAATGTATTCTCTTAACAACCAAAGTGCCATATCGGCTACCATGATATCTTCATCCAGGCCAGGTTGCTCTTTGATAATAGTTTGTGAATAAGTCATTGTAGTTTTATTAACATTATTTTTTTTTGTAAAATGAATTCTTCCTCTTCAGAAAAATCAACACATGCAGATGACAAAACAATTGCATTGTGAAGAGTCTCAAACCCTTGTAAACTTTCAAAAAGCTCCATATTTCGCCCAGTAGCATCGACCAACAATCCGATGTTCTGTAATATCAACAAATATTGTTCGGCTATAATGACACGTTCTAAACTATGATTGTTATTAGTATTATGAAGAGGTGAGTTGATAATAAAAAATTCATCATTTTTCTTTTTAGTCATTAATGACTCATAATTTGAAGGAGTTTGTTGGTAAAGTTCTCTTAAAAGTTGTAAATAATTATCTAAAAAATTATTATCTACAAATTTTCCTCTACTAAGTAGATCGGTAAATAGACGTGAGACACTATGCAGTATAATATTGACTATTATGTTTTTTGCCGGTAATAGTGAATTTTTCATTAGTATTCGAGTGTATTCCTAAAAATTATAACAATTAAAAAAAATTTTTTCTAGTTAGAAATAAATAATCATAAGAACATAAAATCTTACTATAATATAATTTTTTTTACTATAATTTTTCAATTATTATAATTGATTTTTTTCTTTCTAAAAAAAAATTTTGTAAATGCATACTTTAAGAACAAGTAAATTGTTTTCACTCAACATAACTGCCATATATTCTAAAAGACGCGTCAGCGAAACTATGTAACGATAAATCGGATTTGAATCAACAGCTTTTGCAATTGGTGAAATTGTTGAAAATAAAGAAGGCGGCGGTGATGATGATCTGAGATCATTGGCAGCGGCAGTGGTTTCATTATCATAATAATTAACATCATCATCATCATTATTATATTTTACATCAGAAAAGGTTTTATTGTTTGACTTTAATAAAATTTCTCCTAATTTTAAAGCTTGGGAAACTTCATCAATATTTCCGGATGTTTGTAAAGCAGAATCCAACACATTTATTAAAATATCAACTCCGCCTATTTTCCATCCTACAAATGCATTAAGGCAATTTAACGAAATCAAATCCTGTATACATTTAATTGCACTCTGTCTTACATCAAGTTGGGAGGATGACGCAGCCGCACGAAAAATGAGTTTAAAAACATCAATATTATTGACAATCTTTAAAGAAAGATCAATGTTTTAAAAAAAAATTAATATTATATATAATATTAAAAAAAGTCTAAATCACAAATTTACTTCTTTATAAAATCATTATATCTTACCATATCTTTGTTACCATCAATAGAGAGTGTAAAGAAAACTGAAAAGCAATCTTTAAGAAAATATCCCCTGTCAACCATATCAATTCCTGAAATACTATCATCATCGTCTAATATACGCAACAATATAGAATATCCGTTCATCTTTCGAAATTCAACTTGATTGGTTGAATTAAGAAATAAAAGTTTACATATTGTCTCTACAATATCAAATCTTAATGTAGATGTAATGGCCGGTTGAGATGTAGTTTCGGATAGGATATTTGTAAGTGATCTCAAAGCTCCTTGAACACGCATAAATTCCTGAATTAAAAAAAATATTTAATGAAGAGACTAAAAAACTTGAAAATTTTTTGTGAATAATTACAAAATCCTACTTTTAGCATATCAGAATTACTATTTGTATTTTTTGATTCTGGAGATACAATGCCTGGATTTAAAGCTATCGATAAAACAAAAAATTATTGTATTTTATTGTAAGTATAATGTGAACTTTTTTAATATTAAATAAAATATTAAACAAACCTTTGGAAAATTCATTCTGATTACAATAATTAATAATATTGCTTGTTTTCATTAATAATAAATCATGATTGTCTTGAGATAAATCTGGAGTGGATGCAGCAGAACCATTAATATCATCATCGCCATTATTATCAATGCTACTGCTATTATTACTATAAATAATATTATTAGTGTCAAAATTATTGGCTATATCTATATTATCTAATTGATCAATGTCTTTATAATCTATATTATCAAAACGTAATATTATTTTTTCTATTTGATCAGATGTTGGGATATATGATAATGTTCTTAAAAAAAAAAAAAAAGGAAAAAAAGATTAATTTCATAATCTCCCTAAAAAACCTCCTCTCCAAAAACTGATCAAATACCTTTTTCCTTGCCTATTAATCTTACTAGTAAAATTTAAATCTTTATTATCTAAAATATTATTCGTCACCACGTTGAAATTAGGAAATACTTGACCAAGCTCTGAAGTCAATATTTCTCGAACCTTAGAAACGACAGTAGAAACCTTACTACCGATAATACTATTAAAAAATGCATTTGCTGATTCTTCTTCATTACCATTAGCACTACTACCAAATTTATTCACGTTTTTATTTCCATGATCAACCACAATTTCTCCTGACGTTGCAATATTAATATTACTATCATTAGAATTATTATTGCTGCTGGTGTGATTGTGCTGTAGATCATTGACATTAATTGATGATTGCTCATCAAATGTTGTCTCTTGCCCATTTTTCTAATATCAAATAAAATTTAATGTAATCAGTTAATTAATTAATATATTTTATTACTAAATCTATATATTAAAAGTTACCCTAAGTGCCTCTCCCTGAACTTCTAAAAAATGCTTTAAAGTTTTAATAATCTCCTGTGTCAATTCCGGATCACCATCAAGCAATAGTTGTAATATCTTTTTAAAACCTTCATGCCTCCCTATTCAAATAAAAAATTCATTGAGAATTACAATCTGTGATGATAACTTTATATTATTTATAAAATGATTTAATACCAATTTCAAGCTTATTTAAGTCACTTTCTCCCAATGTACTGATAACTCTTAATGCTAATTTTTTTGCTTCAGTAGTGTTTAATTTTTCTAACAATAATAAAATTCTACATATAAGATTGGGCGTATTTGCTACCACTTGCTGATATTTCTCATCCTTGAAATAAAAGATATCAAAAATTATTTTTTAATTTTTAACATTAAATCATTATAATAGTAATTTTAATTAGAAAAACAACAATGTAAATCACCTTTAATATTAATTCTGAAACATTTAATCCTTTGTTAATTAAATCTGCAACTCGATCTAATTCAATGTCAGGTTTTTTCTTTGTAACCTCTCTTATTATAGTTTTTTTTTTAAAAAAATTATTTAATTTTAATAAAATATTTTGATAATTAAAAATCATCATTGCCAATATAGAACCACACATTTATATTAATTAATTGTACCTATCGATCGTATTTAATAAATTTACCAAAACTTCAGTACAATCTCCATACAGCTTATCTAAAGCAACATCCGAAGTTATTCCACATGCACTCCATTCTTTGTACGCATTCTGAAAAGTATCTAAAAAATCCTCAAGTTTTTGAACCATTAATTGGACGTCACTAAAAAACAATATAATAATAATAAGAAACAATTAGAATTAAATTGTTTTAATGATTATTCATAGATCAAAGATTTGATCGGAAAATTTAATAATTGAAATAAAAATAACAAAATAAACAAATATAATTTCTTAATACGTGTATAATTGAAAACTACTTGTAAAAAATTCAATAATTTTTGATAAGGTTTTATTACCATAGGTCAATAATTATATTTTTCAATTGAGACAGATTCGAGTAACTCAAAATCTAAATCTAAATTGATTAACAGTGATAAGAATTGATAATCACTACTAAAGAAAAAAATTTACTATTTTAAAACCAAGGATAGATAGATGTATATGCTAAGAAAAGTAGATCAAAAAGTTTTACTTTCTGTAATGCATAAAAAAGCATCGATTTAAAAACACATAAACTTACTCCTTATCAGAAACTGCTATATATTCTTGCCAACAATTTTGTATTCGACGATATGTTCTATGGATAGCCCATTTCTGCCGCAAAGTTGCCATTTCAAACAAGGTAAGCAACTGGCAAAAAGGATAACGAAACTTATAGTGGGCAGTAAATGATAGAGAATGGGTAACTGCATTCAACAGTGTATAAAAATGGTTCTGATATTCTTCAAGTCTATATAAGATATAGTATTATTATATATATATATTCGATATGTCTAAAAAAAAAAGTTTAAAAGTAAAACAAAAAAAATTTTATTTAACACGAATTATGTGAAACATACAAGCAGCCATTAGTTTTATCAGTACCCCGAAAAACTAGGACGATTTGATATCACACCGTGGGTGGCTAGCTTGTTAGAGAAAAATTCATCCAAATTTGGTAACAAGTTTTCCAAATTTGATTACATGGGGCATACTGCAACAAAACCAGACAAAGTGAACATTGGTATTACCTAGGGGTAAGTAAATAAATGGGGGGGACAACTCGATGTTACACATATAGATCTTGTGAATCCAAAACTGTCACGCCTTAAAAATTAAAAATGATGC